CTCCTAACATACGGCACCCCATTCTCCACCTCCAGTTGCTGCCTCCGTTCAGATAATCGGGTCTCGCCGGTAGCCGTAATGCTTACGGATGACCAGAACTTTTCTCCTTGCCAGATGGTTTGCCACTGAATTGTCTAAACGATTACGAACGTTCTAGGCCGCCGAAATCAGCAGCACTACCTGACATCCTGCAATAGTTCAACCATCGATTTAAATGAAGTCCACCATGTGCTCATGAGCAGGGGCGGTGACTGTCTATCTCACTCTAAACCCTCTCTCCACTTGGACCGGTGACAAGACCAAAGTCAAGATGACCGAGCAGGAATCAGGCGTAGGCCGCTTTCATCAATGCAGGCCAGAACACGGCTTTCTTAATCTTAGTTGGCAGTAGTCTTGTGCGCTAGTGCTACCGCACTATTTATCTTCACCCACCTTCAGTAGGTGTCAAGACAGACTCAAGGAAACCAATGCCGGTACTGCCGCTACTGCTAGTGCTATTTCTTCTTGTACTATTACTACTACTGCTACTACTACGGCTGCTTCTGCTACTACTAATATTACTAACTAGGACCGTAGCTAAGTGATAGTAGTGCTGGTACTATTTCTGGTGCTATTGTTAGTCAGAAGTGACGCTGATTAAAGTCAGCGCTGGGCTCATATCCCCTCAATCTCAACAAGTAGTGTAAACCTCGGATTATGCTATTCCCAGTAAGTGCATGTTTGAAGCCCGGAGCACACTCAGCTCTATCCACAAGAATGTGGCAGTTTCTACTCAGTTTGGCCTGATATCCTGTAGGAGGCGCAGGAATGGAGATGGCGATGGTTGTTGTCCTGTATGTGTTGTTTTGTTTGAACATTTTGTTTCCACAAGCCACGGTTTCCTCTGTTAGACGACGTGTTTTACTAGCCAGTTTTATGAAACATTTAGCATCCCAGGCGGCTGCCAAACTCCACTTAGCGGGAATACGGTGCGTAGTAGCCTAAGCCGCCCACGTTATCGTATGCTGCCCGCCCAGTAGGACTTTTTTTAGGGGAGGAGGGGCTGTTTTTGGTATAAGTTCAGGGACTGTTCGTTGTAAAGACGACAGTTTACACGAGGTCTGTCGTGGGCCGCCCAGCACGGTGACGCAGGGCGATGACTTGTGTGTAACTTATTTTGTTCGGAGAATAGGCTCGGCGTCATAACCAGGTCAAAGAGACTGGAGGCGGGAGGGGACGTATGTGGCTGGCACGACTGAAGCAGCACCTAAGCGTGCCTCCACACCTTACTTGGATCCCACAGAGTGGGTGTTCCCTAAAGGTGACATTGAGAGGGAGCCATTGCAGCACCCTGTCGGTCAGCCGCTCCACACGCGGGGCTGCGTGCACGGTTTGAGTTGTCCTCTTAGGCTTATTTGACGGACGACGAATCATATTTTATATTTGCTGAAAGAGGCTAACTTCCTCACTGTTATCCGCATCCTTATGCTGTGTTTTCCTTTTACGTTCACTAGAACCGCCTCTCCATCCATGACCTCGAAACTGGCGTCAAGACAAAGGACATTCCAATAGACATGGGCAGCGTGTCCGCCATGTCTGGTCACAAGAAGGATACAATGGTGAGTCTGTGCTGCCCCTCCCTCCCCCAGTACGCATCAGTCTACTCCTATTTTGCCTAAGTACTGTCCAAAACTGATGCAGGCTGATCTTTCGTTTCTTGACATCTTTGCTGAAGCAGCTTTCGGGGATCTGACCTACAGCCAGACCAATAGAATTTCATATGTATATATATATATATATATATATAT